CCCATGTCTCTTCTGCCACTTTCCCCACCTCAGGCCACCTGAATATCCTCCACATTCCCACAACCTCTATCAAAATGGAACCTGTATTCCTGTACAGATTTCAGAGAATGCAAGTAAAAGTACTTTGGAAGCAGCAAATCATTATGATAAAAACCCAAGCTAGAAGCACATTCTCAATAAGGAAGCAACATAGCATAGTAGTTAGGAACTTGTTCTTTAGCATCAGAGTGCTTATGTTCATAATGCTAGCTTTGCTGCTTCTTAGCTGCATGACCATGAGCAAGTTACTTCTCTGGCCATGTCTTCATCTATAAAATAGGAATGATAATAGTACTTGCCTCCGAGATCTGTTGTGAGGATTAAATGAGTTACAGTAAAGCACTTTAGAACACTACCTGGCAAGAAGTGCTCTATATATATTATTGGCCATCAAGTTCTACTTATCTTTTCATTAAAACCACTCTCAAGTACATTTCTTCTGTATCTACTGTCCCTGTTTCAGTTTATAGTTTCATATTTTAACACTCACACTTATTCACTTGTCAAACAAATTCATAAACAGCTAGAATAAGAATGAACCAATATTAGATTCTATGGATAGAAAGATGGGAAACAGGGGTGCCTGGGTGGCTCAGTCGGTTAAGCATCCACCTCTTGATTTCGGCTCAGGTCATGATCTCAGGGTTGTGTGATTGAGCCCCATGTCAGGCTCTGCGCTGGCCATGGAGTCTGCTTGAGATCCTCTCTCCCTCCTCCTCTACCCTTTCCCCTTTCTCTTTCTCTCTGTCTTCCTCTTAAAAAAAAAAAAAGAAAGAAAGAAAAGAAAAGAAAAGAAAAAGAAACATGGAAAACAAATAAAAACCTACAATCTCAACCCTCAGTGGGGCTAGGAAGTCCAGAAAAATAAATTAAAAATTACAGTACAACAGGATTAGTGCCATATCAGAGGAATGCACATGAATGCTAAGGGAATATAGAGAAAAAGACCACAAAAAAATAGTTTTGACTTCAACTCCCCTCAAAAAAGACTTAGGATGTATTTTCCATAATTCCCCAAAACTATGAATATACTCCTACTGGAGCACTTAACACATTGTATTGTGTCTCCTGAATGTCCAGAGCCATCACAACTTTAACACATCTAGGACAGACCTCTAAGTTCCCCACTTGCACTTCTGCTCTCAACCCTGCTTCTACTATGTTCCTTCCCAGTCTTTCCCATGTGAAATGTACCATCATTTGTGCAGTGCCCAAGGGACTGTCTTTGTTTCCTTTATCTAACCCCTGCAAAATGAACCCTATTCGATTGACCTCTAAAATATTTTCCAAATCCATCCACTTCTCAACATGCTTATTACCACCTCCATATTCCTCTCCTACAAGACTACCGGTACAGTTCCCTAAGTGGTCTTTATACTTATACTATTGCTCGCTACAACTTTTTTTCCAAATCAAAATCAAAACTATCACTTTAAAATCATGAGATCCTGTTCAAAATAGTCCAATGCCTTCCCACTGCAATTAGAATAAAAATCCAAACTTTTAAAGGTCCTACATAATTTGGCCCTTGCTTTCAGTTCCCTAAGTAGATCTAGTACTCTCTTTTTCACCCATCGGCTTTATTGGTTTTCTTTCTGTTCCTCCACTGTGCCAAACTCATCCCACTTCAAGGAATGAAGTGGAATCTTGCTTTCCCTCTCTTCAGAACACTCTCTCTCCCAGCCCTGTGCATGACCGGCTCCTTCTCTGGCTCAAATGTCAGCAGGTCTTCCCTGACCTCTTCTGTAAAGTGACCTCTTCCCTAAAGTAACCTCTCTCCTAGATACTCTCTCATCAGGTTATTTGCACTTAACACTATTTGAAATTATATCATTTATTTTTCACTTGTTTATGGTCTGTCTCCACACTCCTAGAAGGTAAACTCCAAGAGATCTAGGCTTCTGTCTGGTCACTCTTATATCTCTAATGCCTACAGAAGTGCCCAACACAAAGTTGGTGGCCAACAGAACATTTTCAAAATAACAAAATTTTGACGATCCAAAGAAAGTAGTTTCAATGGTACAGAAGGAGTAGAAGCACATTCAAAGAGGACTAATAAATGAGTAATGAACAAAAGGAAATAGAAAATGTAGACTTCTTTTAGGAAGCATGATTGTGAGACAAGTAGAGTGAAAGGTAGAAGATGACCCTGTTGTTGAAGGGTTATTTACAAAGGAGAAAAATTTATTTCTTAATTCTCTTTATATCAAGGACACCCTTCAGAATTAAACAAAAGCCCGAGTCCTCTCCTCAGTAAAATAAAAACACATACAAAACGTTACAAACAATTTCAGGGGGTTGAAGAACTCCCTAAAGTTTTTGTGCTCTCGGTTAAGTCCTACAGTATAAACACATAGACGATTCCTAAGACAAGGGTTAATGTTAACTAATGGGAAAAGTCACTGAGCCAATTAAAGGAAACCCAAATAAATGTCAGATGCACTGTCCTTGGAGACAAGAAAGAGGAAAGCAAGGTCAGGTGAAGATTTAGATAAGAAGGGGTAGAAATCTTAAGAGTCCTGCCTGACAGAATTTTCATTTTTCATGAAATAGGAGATAAGATCATGCACTAAAAAGAAAAAAATACCAATCCTGAGTAAAATATCACACATATAACACACACTCAACAAAAGTCACCAAATATTTTGGTAGAATAATTTAAAATACTACCGTATTTTATATGGGATTCTGAAATCTGGTTCCACAAAAAGTCAACTTGTTTTCTTTTTATAAAAAAAGTTTACACTGACAGATCCTTTGAAGTAGGAAGGAATAACATCAAAGAAAGATGTAGAAAACAACACAGTTTCATGAATAATTTTGAGATAGGTTTTTGTATTATAAAAATAAGTGAATAAAGGTTTTGGGAACTCACCTCAAACAAAACAATAAGGACACAATGCTTAACCTATCTTATGAAAAAGAAATAATCTCTCCAGTTATCCATTCAAATTCAAGCTCTTTAGTTATCTTCAATGCAGACTATTCTGTAAAGAAATAACTTGTCTTTTTAAAGGAGCATAAAACAATGGCCCCAGGAGAAGTATCGTTTACCAAGACCTCTAAGAAACACAGGGGGTTAAGGAGTTGTTTTCAAGAGGCTTTCCTGAACTAAAAAATATTAATAATAAACTGATGTTAATCCCCTAACTAAGACAAATACAACTACCCTACTAACTAGGTCAATTCAAAAGATTATAATGAGGTACATGTATGAGAAAGTCCACAGCAGTGGTTCATATTTACCAAAACTGTAAAAACCTTAATAGTAGAGTAGGTAAACACTAAACAACAAACGATAAGCAACAAGCATAAATCTTAAAAACATAATGTTGACTAAAGAAGCAAACTAGAAAGGAATACTTAACAATTCCATTTATATGAAGTTCAAAAACAAGCCAAACTAGAATGTGCGTGTTCGCATATACAAAGATGGTGAAACTCTAAGGAACAGCAAGGAAGTGGTTATCATAGAAATCAGGATGGTGGCTACATCTGGGCAGAAGAGGTAGCATGTGATGAGAAAAGAGAATGAATAATAACACCTGCTCTGTCTCCATATATGGAATACTCTAAAAGTAAATTACCCTAAAACTGATCTAAGCAACTAAAAAAGAAGACAGAAAAGGAGCCAACAAAATCTCTACATCTGATTATATGTTGGACTACAGTGATTTCCAGACAATAAACAAAATAAGATATATTTTGCAAGCTGCCATTAAATAATGCCAAAGTTTGTTTACAATAAATATTTCATTAATATACCTTCCTAGTTATTTCTCACTAATTAAAATGGAATGGTTCAGTTCCTTGAGCAATTAAGATACAAACAAGAATCAGTTTTATCCTGAAGGCAGATCTGAATGTGCCACTTTCCATTTGTTTATAACTAACCTAGTTTCCTCTAGCATAAACCAATTTTATTCCATTTATTTCCATACAGGTTTTTTTTTTTTTTAAGTGTACTTTAAATGCTGAAAACCAGTAGAGGAAATTTAAAACAACGAATATCCTGCGATACAAGGTCCTGGAATGTTAGAAGGAAAACACCGGGGCTGTGTCATCTGTGCAAACCGTTCTTGAAGCCCTGATCCTTGCCTTTAAAACAAACAATAACAATGTATTCCTATGCATATTTAAGTATCAGGTCCATAATCGCCGCTGTTACTCTACTTTAGTCTAAAATATTTTTTCAAACAAAACCCAGCTTATCCTGCCTTTCCTGTGTACAATTTCTACTGAAATTTTATGAAATATTCATGCAAATGCCTATGGAATCTCGGCCCTTCACCTCCCAAAGTCTATAAAGAGGCTTAGAAGTGAGAGGCTGGGAGTCAAGAAGGGCAGGTTGAACTACCAATCTTTGACTTCCAAATTCCTCACTTCCACTCCAACGTTTCTAAACAAAACAGCCCCCGCAACAACCAAGCGGAGAGCTGCGGCAGGAAGCGAAGCGGTCACCATAGGAACTGGGCTCAACCCTAAGCGCCCAAGAAACGACAACAGCGGCAAAGTTTGCTCCTGGAGGGCTTCCCTGGACCGCAGCTCAGCCCGCTACCGTCCCTCACAGCCGTCAAGCAGTGAATCCCCACTTCAGAGATCACCCTCAGCCCCTAATCCCCGTCATATCCTCCCTGTTGCAGGGCCTTCTGGTCCAGGAGCTGCTTTACCCCAAACCGGCACATCTCTGCTGCCTCTACCTGGAGCTGAGAGTCCCTCCCCGGGTTTCTCTGCCCGTCTTCCTCCCCGGAGCTCATGTCGACGACTGGCAAGTCCTGGCCTGTGCCAGGGATCCTGGTCCCTCCCCGTCTCCATCCTCCGCCCTTTTCCCCTCCCCTCACCCCCAAATCAACCTGGCCCCACCCCGCTGGAGGCAGAGGAAGGCGGGACCCGGAGGGAAGGAGGCGGGGGCGGTTAGCGTCGGTCGGCGCCGCCGTGGGCCCCGCCCTCACGCTCTGTACCTGAGGGGGGCTCGTCCTCCACCTCCCCGGCGCCTTCGCTCCGCTTCCGTCCCGCGCGCCCCCAGTTCCCGTGCGCACGCGTACCTCGCTCGACCTTCCTTCTCGCGGGGACTAGAAGCCGTGCGTGCGCACCCACGCACGTAGCGACGCGTACGTCCACCTTCCCGTACAGGGTGTGTAGTAGAGGCCTCTTCCTGGTCCATCCGCGCCGCGCAGGCGTAGGCCCACGCTGCGCTTAGCCGTCCCCACACGAGCGTCCCGTCTCCTAGTAACCAGCCGCTGCCCTCTTCTTCACCACTTAATTCTTACTCCCTGCTTGGCGGCGGCCGCACCTGAATAGAACACGCATGTGCAGGGCTGTATCTCCGCCAGCCTCCCTACCTTGGCTTTAGAACACCTGCTGCTTCGCTATTGCAGCTTTGTAGCATTTTTTTTTCCCCCCTAGGGCTATATTACCGTTTTGGACCCGCTTTCAGCGAACTCGTTACTCCCCAGAGCTGCTTTTGGGCAGTGGGAGGTTGTTGAGCTCTCCTGCCGTGGCAAGGGGCCGGTTTTCAGTGAATCTCCTATGTCGGGTTCTGCTGCTGCATCCTCTCGGAAGGGAGAAGTTCTTTCTGTTCCGGTAAGGCAGCCAGCGAACCCACGACACGGTCAGCCCTGCACGATTCAGTCATGGTTGAATTAGGAAGTGGCAGAACTTCATTGCTATGCAAAAAGGCGCAGATTCCTGACTGGTTTTCCTTCTCCACATGCCAGTTCTTCTTCAAGACCCCTTTCCAGAAAAACTGGTGATGATTAACAAAAGAGGAAAGGGTATACTCTCCCACTTGATATTTAATATTGTATTGATTGTTTGCCTGTTTAATACCATTTACATTTGTCTGCTCCCGAGTAGGAGCCTCCAGTCTTGGAACACTCCTTTAATTTAACCAGGTGTAATATTTTTGGCCATCCAACTATGTTAAAATTAACCGCATTACCTAAAAGTGGAGAAATTAGATTTTTAGTGAAAAAGAATGAGGACTGCATTACTCTGCCAAATTTTGGGAGCCCGGCTTGAAAATAAATACTGTTTTTAACATTTCTTAATATAAAATAAACTGTCTTAACCCAAGGGCTTCTGAATTCTAATGGCTTTATCTGCTTGTCTTTTCCGACAGACGAATAGATAACTAGATTTTTATAGCTGTTCTCTGATGATCTTGATAAAGTTTGCACCTCTGTATTTCAAATAATTTCACATTTGAAGAGACTAACAATTCCTGTTTTTGCCAGGTGAGTACTCCCCCCCCAATAATATAGTGGCAGTCATAAACACGTTAGAACAAATTTCTTCGTAGAAGTACATTTAATTATAAGGGCCATATGTTTTCCCCATCTCTGCTCTTTCGCCATTACTTGTGCCATTACATCTCCTAGTTTGTAGCATTTATTTCAGCTATCATATACTTTGTAAGTATAGCTAGACACTAAAATTTACCTTGAGTGTCCTTGTTCTTTTAAACAAAGAAGTCACAGATTTCAAGAGGTACATATAATTATCCCTAACTGATAAAATAAGTTACAAAGAAACATGAATTGGAGCACGTGACTTGCTCAGTTGGTAAAGCATGTGACTCTTGCTTTTGGGGTGGTGAGTTCAAGCCCATGTTTGGTGTAGTACTAAAAAATTTTTTTAATTAAAATTTATTTTTAGATTTTAAAATTAGGGGTGCCTGTGTGGTTCAGTTGGTTGAGTGTCTGCCTTTGGCTCAGGTCATGATCCCAGGATCCTAGGCCAGTGCGGGGAGCCTGCTTCTCCCTCCCCGTCTGATTTTCGCCCTATTCATCCTCTCCCCCTCTCTCACTGTCTCTCAAATAAATAAAATCTTTTAAAAAGTACTTTCCTACTTCCCATATTAGTACTTCTCTACGGGAAAAATAAGAAAAGCTTTAGCATTTATGTGCACTACCTAGATGTTACTGAAGATTCCTTGGAAAAACTATAGGGAAAAGGACATTTTAAGGCCAAACCAGGGCATGAAGCTTTTCCTTTCTTTTCTTATCAAGGACAGTTAACTTTGTCTCCTAACCCAAGACAGTGAATATTTTCTTCCCTCTCTAGAAGTCCAAAGAGTGGTTAGTGCTCCATCCTGCCTCAACTAATCCTTTTATATACCTGTGCTCTCCAGCTGTTTCAGACACTCCTGTGTAATTCTAAGCCCTGTGTTTCTGTTCCCTTAGTTTCCCTCCATCATTTCACAGTCTTCACTATGAAAGCCTCTATTTTGGGGTGCCTGGGTGGCTCAGTCCATTAAGCTTCTGCCTTCGGCTCAGGTCATGATCCCCGTCGGGCCCCCTGTGTCAGGCTCCCTGCTCAGCAAAGAGCCTGCTTCTCCCTCTGCCCCCCACCCAACTTGTGATTTCTCTCTCTGTCTCTTTTGTGTATGCTCTCTCTCAAATAAATAAAATCTTAAAAAAGAAAGAAAGAAAGAAAGAAAACCTCTATTTTGTCTTTTTTTCCCCTGTACTTCCTTGGTTCTCTAAGAAAAAAATTGGGGACGCCAGTTGAACATATGTTAAGTTGCTTAATGTTTTTCCACAGTGAACTGGTGCTCTGTTCATTTTAATACATCTTTTGGTATATCTTCAAGTTCACTCTTCTTTCCTTTGGCAGTGTTAACTCCATCCACAGTATTCTTTATGTCAGAATTGGTTTTTTTCATCTCTGGAAGTTTAATTATTTTTAATATCTTCCATTTCTAACCTCATCATGATCATTTTTTCCTCTACCTTCTTGAAAATATGAAGTGTATTTAAAATAGCTTTTAAAAGTCTTTATATACTAATTATATCACCTGTGTCATTTCTGGGTTTGTTTCTATTACCTAATTTTTTTTTCTCCTGCTTATGGGTCATATTTTTCTGCTTATTTTCATGCCTGATTAATTTTTTTGACTGCCAGACACTGCATATTTTACATTGTTGGGTGCTGGAAGTTTTATTTTTATTTTTCTTTAAATATATTTAGGCTTTGTTCTGAGATGTAGTAATACTACTTGGAAACAGTTGTATCCTTTAGAGCTAAACTGTTGAAAATAATAACCACTAGCTACATGTGGCATTTTGAATTTTTATTAATAAAAGTATATAAAACTTAAATTATTAATATTAGATAAGGTTATATAATGTTGAATATTTATATATAATAAGGTTATATAATATTAAATATTAAACAAAATTAGAAAAAACTTAAAATTTCATTTGTACTATGTACATTTCAACTTCCAAAGCCACGTGGGGCTAGTGGCTAGTATAGTGGACAATAGATAGAGAATATTTAAATAATTGAGGAAAGTTCTGTTGGAGAGCGACGCTTTAGAAACTTTTTTTTAAAGATTTTATTTATTTATTTGACAAGGACACAGCAAGAGAGGGAACACAGACAGGGGGAGTGGGAGAGGGAGAAGCAGGCTTCCTGCTGAGCAGATGCAGGGCTTGATTCCAGGACCCTGGGATCATGACCTGAGCCGAAGGCAGACATTTAACGACTGAGCCACCCATATGCCCCTAGAAGCTTGCTTTTAAGCTTTGTTAGGTCCAAATACTCTTTAGGGCTCATCTGTTCCCTTTCTGAGGACACAGATCAATGCCCGGTATATTAGGAGTTCTTTACATTCAGGCCGGTGGGAACTCCATTCTTGGCCCTGTGCAAGCTCTACAGACTATTCGGCCTTCTCTTTTGGTGGTTCTTTCTCAGGCCTCATTAGTTTCCTTACACATGTGTTTCCTAATTAGTATTCAGCCAAAGAATTGTGGGGAATCCTCTGCACATCTCTGGAGCTCTTCCTCTCACTGCCCCTCCTTCCACAAGTTCTAGTGACCTTGGCTTCTATAGACTCTGAACTTCTGTCTTCTCAACTCATTGAAATAACCGGACACACTTTGGGTTCCCCCTCCTTGTGCAGAAGACTGAAATTTTCAGGCAGTAAGCACTTACAGGGCTCACCTCGTTTATTTCCTTTCTGTCAGGGATTACTCTCCTGCACTGCCTTTTATACATTATCTAAAAACCATGTGTTTTGTCTGTTTTATAACAGTGGTTTGAAATTTAAAAATTGCTTCAGACTGAGGGAACTGTAAGCGTATGAGCCCTAAGCAGAAGAGGGGTTGGCACAGCATATACTTAGGAATGGCAATGAGTTCATGGGGCAGAATAAGTGAGAGAGATAGGAGTCTGAGAGGACACAGTGTTAGCTGGCATATCAGTCTCCTATTGCTGCTGTAATAATTTACCACAAACTTGGTGGCTTTAAACAGCACAAGTATATTATCTTAAGTTCTGGAGGTTAGGAGTCCAAAATGGATCTCACTAGAGTACAATCAAGATGTCAGCTGGGCTGTGTTCCTTCTGGGAGTTCTCTGGGAATATCCATTTTCTTATCTTTCCAGTTTCTGCAGAATGCCTGCTTTGTTCGGTTCATGGTGTCCTTTTATCTTCAAAGCCAGCAATAGCCAGTCAGGTCCTTCCCACATTGCATCATTCTAGCAGTGACATTCCCACCTCTCTTTCACTTATGCAGACCAGTGATCACCAGTGATGAGTCCAGGATAATCTCACCACCTCAAGGTTGGTTGACTGGGAACCTTAATTCAATCTGCAACCTTAATTTCCCCTTGCTATGTGACATATTCACAGGTTCTGGGAATTAGTATGTGGACATCTTTGGGGACCATTTTTCTGCCTAACACAGCTGGAGACTCAATATGTAGACAATTTGGCTTTCACTCTGACATGGAAGGTACCTAGAGCAGAGTGGTGAGCAGAGGATTGATGAGATCTGGTTCATGATTTAAAAGACTCATTCCAGATACAGTCTGAAGAACATACAGTGGGAAAGTATAGAAACAGAAACAAGATTCATTGAAGGATTGGATGTGGAATGTTAATAGGAGCTAGAAATTACTCCACCAGCAATGCACAGGTTTTCCCATCATCCTATATTCTCCTTAAATCTCCATGTTATCCACCTTTCTAGAATGCCATTCTGATGGTAGTAAACTTGCATTTCTCTGATTCTTACTAAGTTTGAACATCTCTTTATATACTTATT